CTGCTGTTATGGTGTCTCGTTCTTCAAGCACCCCCTGATAAACTTCCCCGGATAACCACTGATGTCATCGAATGCTCTAAGTAAGTGGTCTACGTTCTCTCTTATTTTTGTGGGGATGAAATAGTTAACGTCCTCAAATACAGATCTACTTGATGCTGGTTACGTGGACGTTATTGTGGTTTAACATTCGATCCGTATGCCAGTTTCCGTTATAGGTAAGTATCGAGAGTGCCGTTTACCTTTCCGTCCAATAAAACGAGTGAAAATGGTTATCGGGTATTCCCGTGAGGCTCCATCCTAAAGTTGATATCTTCTAACATGGTGTTGGGTGCGATTGTTGACTTAATCTATTTTCGTGATAAAAAATTTTTCTCCATACAGCAGGTTCGCGGATTAGGACTGATGATTTTGGTGCCACCTGCTCTAATTTATTCAGCATCCTCCAGAAGATATATTCTGATACCAGGGATCCTATTAGAGTCTTTTTCAGCTGTCAGTATATGCAAAAGTCCAATAACTTGCGTAGGCTTTTGGTTTCTATGATTCCTGTCCATATTGGGTTATTTTAGAGCTCTTCTGTTACTGTTGTTCTGGCGAGGTTTTGACAGATTGAAGTGAATATTGATAAGATATCAAAAGAATGCAGGATTTCGTCTTCGTCCATACTGATATTAGGTAGTGTGTTTTTAAACTGACGGGAATCGTTAAACGTGTATTGAGATCTAGGAGTTAGGCATTTTTTGCTGAAGCGTGAGATAAAATTCGCTCGCTTTTTGTGTGCCTTTTGTAACCCACAGAGTCGCGCAACCTTGATGTTATTGGTTTTTATTTCACTGACTGGTTATCTTGCTGTCTCTTGCAATTTTCTGAGCACCTACTCACACCTGTCTCATTGGATTTTGACAATGTAAGTGCCATAGAATTGTGAAAATGGCCGAAAACAAAAAGAGAAATCCGACATCCATGTTCTACGTTGCTTCCCTTTAAGTGAACAAACAAGTCGGCAGAAAATTTTATGTGCACTTGTTAGACACCTAATACAGAAGTTCACTTCTGAAAGACGTGTTACATGAGCCGAAGCCGGGTAATACTGGAAAGTAACTATAGTCATCAACTTAATTAACTTAGTTAGGTTTACATAAGCAGTGTTATAAGTCCAGTGTTGTCATTTCACTAGGGATGTTTTCCAAATTGAATAAGAAGATTACGATGCCTTAATGTAGGGCTCTGATTTAAACATAAGACACACGGAAACAACCATTAACGCAATACGTGAAGTAAATTAGTTTACAAACATAGGGTCCTGAAGATAATATCGATGAATAACACCTTTTGGAGCCTCCCTGAACAATGCTGTTTAATCGTGGTCCTTATACTATCTGGAGCAGAAATTTAGGTAGTTGCCTGTTTCCTTAAGGCTGGACTAGCTGTCAGCATTCTGAATATACCTTAGCGGAATTCGTCGCATAGCCATAGATTTTACTAATACACGTCCAGCGGGTTCTGGATTAGCGCGTTATCGGTTACCAAGTAGATACACATGCTAGCTAATTATCTGCACTTATTGATCCAATGAATTTTCTTGCGACACTAGAGGGTTTCTTGTTCATGAATTTGTCAGAATCAAGGAATTTAAAGAGGGAGCTATGCGAACTCTAATTAGCTCAAGTTTTCTCGTCATTTTATGAAACTCAGGCCCTAGACAAAATACAAGAGAGGTAGGATATTCAAATGGAATGAGAACCATGACAGACGCTAAAATTATCCACCAGGTACACTCGGATAGAAAATGAACGACCAAGATCCAGTGCAGTAAAGAATACTTGTGGGAACGTTCCTTCTACAGATTTACAGATTTTTCGACAAAACGAGGCATCACTCGATTTTTTTCACTCATCCATTCGCTTTCATTTATTTCAATATTTCACAGTAAATAAATTTTCGGCATCTTCTAGAGATAAGAATAGTCTTGCTAATGGCGTTTATTGAAAGTTATTCAGCAATAGTGAAATAAAATCAAACAAAACCTTCCGAAATATCGGGTACAGGAGTGCCTGAAACCATGCGACCTTTCTCCACAAAAATTGCAAGAAAGTATCTACTTTTAAAAGCTTCCAAATGGAAAGCACAGGAGTCCGTTTGCTGCGACTTTATTCACTCAGACTATCTTGACCGGTCCGCTAAATACGTGATTACTGTGGATGACGAGCAGACAGTGGGGAAATTTCGATATGACTTTATCCACCAATAATAATTAGAAGCCCGACAAATCATATTCAGTGTTCTTTGGAAAATTCATCATGGCTCTTCTAAAGTTGACAATGCTGAACTCACTATTTAACGGCAATTAAACCTTGTAGGGTTTTTCATGGTTCAAATCACATTTGGGGACAATTTTTGTACCCATTTTAGTCCACGTGTTTTTAATTGAAAGCCTACTTGAAAGTCTACTCAGTAAAAGGTGAACCATTCTTGATGGCAAACTCAAATATTTTTTGGTCTGTGATCAGTGCTAGTTTACTAGGAAGAATTCTACATATTCTATATTCAGTATTGATGACTTGAAGAGCGTTTGTTACCACTCCTTGATATCAGCGTATGGAAGCCTTTATGACAAATTGTGTTGACTAGCATGGTGAAATATGGATAATGGTGATTTTTCCGCAGGAAATTATTGTACAGTGCATCGAATTCTGCGGATCGAAGAAAGCTGAATGGCTTTAGAAACACGTAGTTCATGAACTGTAACACAGCTGACAAGAACTTCTCATGTGCTAAACTCCAGTGACAGCCCGGAAGAACAAAAATGCTTTCGTTAGTGAAACACTTTCCTCTTAAATTTTGTTGAGTGCCCATTTAGCCTTACGCTGACAATACCTCCTCCTATCGTGACGAAACATTTGCAAGCCAATTGCCAAAATCTATAAGCACCCGATTCACACCTATTAAACGCACATGGATTGCCTATATTCCGAAAACTTACCACCGTAATAACAAAATAATAAACACCGTTTGCATCGTAATTCCTCAAAACGAGCTGAGTTCACTCTATACTTTTTCTCTGGATGTTTGTACAAGCAATACGTGTCAATCTTGACCACATGGGTAAACCTTTCATGCCTCCCCACAAGCAGCCTCATAAGGCTTTCCTCGTAGATGCTCCCGTGACCTTAGTCTAAAAACAGCTAGCCAATTTAGGTAGTACATATGTTATCATGAAACACTAATCTGGACTAATGTTATTTACGGAGAAATATTCATCACCTCAAGTATCTGACAAGGTTTGCCCAATCTAAAATCATTAAAATCGACAATTTTGCCGGAGCTCATTCGCTGTTATTAAATGATTCATAGATGCACACTGATAATTGTTTCGTGTATCAGAAATGACCCACAAATAAAGTCATTAGCAACCACTCGTGTTGTAAAACAAATTGGTGTCGGCAACCAGCGTGTTTGATACCTTCAACAAACCGTAGCTTCAAACATAAAGCTATTCCCATCCATTCCCAGAAATGCCCACTTTAGGGCCTCACTGCTGAAACTGAACCTCCTTTTTTGGAATGGACAATTACGTAAAAGCTTTTATTTGTCATATTTCGTATTACGTGATTAACATGATGCGTTCGGGTTGGGACCTTTCCAACCTTTGAGTGTGAAATTTCATCTAAATGGAAAATGATAACAAAGCTAATCCTCATGGATTTTTGGTTTCAATCCTATTGAGGCTATGAACTATCCAGCTGCGCCTGCCCTCTAAAGTAGTATTTTGGTGTATTTTGAATTCAACCTGAAAATCACAGCTATTTTCTCTTCCACTCCGATCAAACAACAGTGAGAGAGCGTTAGAAACAGGTAAAATAAACCAACAGATAGATTAAAATTACTGGTTTCGATTTCCATATAGACAATCAGGATTCACTTTTCATCATAATAACTAATGAAAAACACGTGTTATGGCCTTCGACATTTCAATAAGACCGTCATCACGGATAGGTTGCTGTAATGTGTTTTGTAAACCGCCACTCATCAATGCCCTGTCCGAATCATCTCTGTTTGTTGGTGGATAAGTGTGGATGTTTGTGTTACCGTGTGAGAGCAACTCGGTGTGTGGTTGTCATTTTGACATGTTGTGAATGAGAAATCAAAATTTTAAGACTTTTTGCTCTGACGGTTTGACAGTCGATCTCACTGTAGTGAGACACATGCTTCATAGAGGGCTTTGTAAAAGCGTTTTGTTGTGATCAGCATGGATGCATGTGTGTTTGCTTGCATGAGTGATGGAGTTATTACCGTCAGTTGTTCATGGTGTCGTCTTCCACAACTATACAGTTGCTCTTGCACTCTGTCTTTTAAACTGGGTCCAAAAACGAACCCATCAGAATTTTGGCATATCGCACAGCTTCACACGCCGGGGGTGCCGAAACAAAAGAATTCCCTTGTACAGAGGAGATTCTTTGGCTACTGATCGGTTGTTGAAGGCAAAAAGTATAAGTAAAGCTTTGGTCATATTTTAACTTAACTGTTGAAAATACAGCATTTCTACTTTTGTGCACAGACAGTAATGAAACGTAAGTGATTTCTACGAGGTTGTCTGAACAGAAGCGCAGTCACGTGAGTATGTGCAATAGGAGGATACGTCTTATCGAGCATTCACCAACGGGAAACGCAACGACTGCTGTCAGAACAGTTGTAGAAATATATCGTCTTGGTGCTTTGAAATCATAAGAGTTGAAAAATGCATTTCGATTATAGAAAATAACAAGCATGGATAACTTGAAAAGAACAATACATTTTCAGAAGACAATACTCATATTCCAGAGAATTCTACCATTTGTCATAGTTAAACGCCCTTAAAGATGGAGTCAGCTATGGGGTAGAGTGTTAAATATGTTTGTCTACAGAAATACCCAGTAGTGCAACACATTCTAGCATTGTGTAAAAAATATTATGTATCCTAGAAAGACTGAATGCATTGAAGGACAATTCAATGACCCACTGAAGCCAGTAGTCAAGTTTGATGCTTCGGACTCACCAGGAGTGTCGTCCGCAGTATTTTGCGTCTTGACATTAGCTGGTCCAATCCATTGGCGTCGGGATATATCACCTCTCGCCCTTAATAGCTCCTTGTATTCCGATATTCGCAACTTTCGACCGTCCACAATACAAGTGCGTTTTGGACGGGGTCGATAACGATAGGCTGGGTGTTCTTCCATGTGTAATCTGCTCAGGCGTGTTTGTTCTTCATAGTACGGTTGTTTTGCTTCTGCACTCATTGACTTCCATTTGGCTCCGAGGAATTTCGATATATTGCTGTTGTGCATGTCAGGACAAGCCTGCGGGCGAAACCAAAAGGACTATGTTAATATAAGACACTGGCTAAACACGGCCTTGGGTTTTTGTTGCGCGTGGATGTCAACTTACAATTTCTGGCTAGAGATTTCAATGTAAAACTGACTGACCTAGCTAATAATCCGTCTAGTGAAACTGACATCCGATTTCACTCGCTCTTCTAGATGACATCGTCCTTATATGATCAATGTGCCAGATAACGTTTTGTCTGGATAGGTGAGTCATAGAAAGATTAGACAAAACTCATATCTAACTAGTGCGGTAACCCTCCCGTCATTCGAAAATCAGTTAGCCAATAAAAGACACGTCCAAGGTAATATTTCGGCACATACAACAACAGAATAAATGACATCCTCCAGAGGAATATTATTGAGGGGTAGATGGCGTTAGCAGCCAGTGCTTTTGATGTGCTATCAAAAACTGCACTGCCTGGAGCACCAAAAGTTCTATAATGATTCGAATGTCGTCCTACTCAAAGGTTGTTAAGAGGCCAAAAGAACTGGAATTTGTTACAAATAATCTTGTTCATAGAGGATATGAAGGTTGAAAGATTCCCTGGGAGACAAGGCAGAAGTAGTTCAACACTACTCATAAGGTTGGTGAAAACTCCCCGACAGCCCACTACTTGTTTTGTTTTCTTGGAGCTGATCACAGAGGAGCAGCTTTCGAGTTTCCGTTAACATTAGGTCTTACTTTAACATAAATCGAACGGAATTTGTCAGATACTCCCATTTGCAGACGCATTTGGTTTTGATGGAGACTCAACTGACTACAGGCGAAATTCTCGTCCAAACTATGCATTACGATATCTCGAATATCGCGCAAACTGGAACATGAGGTAGACCGCGACAGCAGATTCAGTCGAAAAGAACTACTATACACAGTAAATTCATTTTGAGTCGAGTCTCCCGTCAAAACAACTTTGCATGTAAACGAGAGTATTTGCAGAAGTGCTCTTTGAAAGTTAAACTGTTTGAGGAAGGTTATGTTCGCACAAGCCCCGCCGTAATTGTCATTTTCAAGGACTACTTACAATACAGCCGTACTTAAAACTTCCAGTTAGGAAGCAGTAGAACTGTCGTCATCAACTGGTAGTTGCTGACGAGATACAACCTTAAAACCCCACTTAGATCAAGAGCTGAGAACCCGTTTTCCATACCTTGCTGGAGTTCATTTGTGCCGTGGAATCGATGCAACGCCTCAGAATAAAACGGCCGAAACGCCTAGAATTCGGTTTTGCTGCGCCTCAAAAATAAGCAAGTACCAACGGTTCTAATGCATTCATTCTACTCACTTGATTCACATAACTGTTGAATGCTACTGGATTCCATGAGACTTCTTCACTCTTTAAATTAACTCTGCGATGAATCGGTTTGTGCCAATTCAAAAATTCTAAAACTGCCTCCCACAGTGCTACAAAGACATCCTGCCGAAAAGCAGACGTCATTTCCCAGTCAGAAATGCCCCACGTATTGGGAAAAGAGGATTGGTAATTTCGTCTTGCCAGACGGCTGATACGCAGTAATCGTGCAGCATATGGCTGTAACAAATAAACATCAGTCCGTTGAATTCTACTGTCAGGCTAACGGAAGCCCCAACACCTAATTTTGCACCCAAGTTTTCTACGCCTGAACCAAACTACTTCTACGTCGGAAAACGTTACAGAAACAGAGTAGCACCAAATCGTTAACACAAGAAGTAAGCGCAGTTTGAATGATCTTGTTAGAAGAGCGGAAGTGGTGAGTGGTTGATAAATCAGGTGAAGTGGAATATTCATGTTTTCCCTCGAGTAAGTACCGAAATAAAGCCAGCAACTTCACCAAACTTATTTCAACCAGAGATAGAACCGCATCACGTATGAATGGCGGAGCAATGTGCTTGGCAGGCGATTGTGGGCAGTGAATTTCACTAGCCGGATCCTCCCGTGGAAGTTCTGAATGACAAGAGGCGCAAATCACTAGTCTGTGCAATGGCGAAACACTATGATCAAGCAGTCAACGGTCCTGGGGCAATCACTGTACAAGCAAGCAGTGCACCGTAAAAATTGGACCAGTTACCAAATCTTGCTTCGAATATAAAAAGTAGTAAAATGTGGGAAGACAAGCTCTGCAAATCAAGCCTTCAGCATGACACTCGTAAAAAAGGCAGGATTACACTAGTTTGAACTGAAATGTCCTCGTTGCATGCAGACATTGTTTGATAGTTCCCATCCGCAAGATAAAATACATGGATCCCTTTGATCGGAATCAGCAGGAGTTTTAGCTGATAAGATTGTGTTGACAAGCTGCCAGATTGAATCACACTCAGAATAAAGCACTGTAGATTTCTACTGACAAGAGTGAAATGGACCTAACTTTTACAGAAAAATTTGGGATATCCTGTCATCGTATTCAACATCTTTGATTTCAAGACAGTTTCTGTTTGAGCGAAATGAAAAATAACTGTGAGTTTTCTCAGTTTATGGATGCACACACGATGTGTATCTCACTTGCTACCATGGTTTCAATTGCAGGGATCATTTGATCGATTTCCTCTGAATTGATTCCATGCCGCCGAGACTGTTTCTTTGTAGAAACAGCTTATCAAAAAAGCCTTTCCCAGTTAGCTGAACAAACCAAGTAAATGTGATTCAGCCATTTTCGCGTGCTAGATCAGATGTTTCAGAATGCATTTTTGTATGCAGTTTATGTCTAAGAATTTGGGGCACACTCATTGCTCGAGGAGTTCAACATCATAAATCTGCGGTTCGGTTGGCATAAAACAAATAACCGAATCCACTTTGTCCCGCTTTAGGCATACGCCTTGGGGGTCAGCAAAGCCTTCTAGTCAACAATCAAAATTGCTTAGATAGGCTTACCCTTTTCGTTAAAGTTCTTTGATGTTTGAAGGAACTTCTACTGTAAGCCATGTCGATTAATGGTCACTGATGGCTGGAGATGATGGTTAGTTCAGCGTCAAGTCGATTGTTGTTAGCCGAGGCAGTTGAGTTGAATTACAGTGAATTATTTTCTTCCCTCTCAGGCGTACGTCAACATTGCTAGCTGTGACACTCTGTGTTAGTGCTATGCTTGCACCACGGATCTGTAACCAGCTAATCACCTAATTACTATTTGCCGCACAATAGAATCTGGTTGTTTGTCATCCCATGCAGTATCAAATCGTTAGTCCGGTTAGTTGGAGTATATGTTTATGGCTCACCCCCACACGTCGACCACTTGGTCTTATTTGAGCTCCACCGCCCGGTGTCACACGCAAGGATTTTACGGCTTCACTTATTCCGAATACGGAGTCCATTGTTTCTGTCATTTTTGGATGAGCTAATTAGTATACGCATGTAATAGCAGATTATTTCGAAAAAATGTGGTTCGTGCGCGCACAAAGACCCTCAAAAGACAGTGGGTGCTGTCATGCAATCTTGAATTCACTGATGTGTCAATGTAAGACGTGACCCAGCCTTTTTAATCCAGTAGCGAAACCGAACAAGGTGCTCGTCAGACCGAGTTATTCGTCACCAAATTCTCAACTTCTTTTTGACAGTATAAGTGTTGTGCCTAGTGTACACTGGGTGTCTACGTTGATGGGAACCCTTTGGTTGATGTAGAAAAGTTGCACTTATTGCAGGCACTACTAATAAAGGAGAAGGCCGTTCCTCACCAGCAGTATCACGATGAAAATAGTAAGCGTCCATTCGTGACCACACCCGAGAATAAAGTCGTAAAGTTGATTGATCCAATATGCAGTGAAGGAGTGACTTATCTTTCTCAGGTAGGTCAGTGTGTTCAGGTTTATTTGTGACGATTAAGTTGATTTGCTTATTGATCATACATTGTAGAGCCTGTCACTTTATTGTCCCTCCATCTATGTCGGTTACGCCGTCATCATGGTTTCTCCCATGTTTGTTTACCTGATTAATTTTTACAAGGAGCAAACCAGTGAAATACAGTGTTTGTTTGGATGCTTGGGGTGACAAAAAACGAGGTGTCTGTCTCTACTGCTTAAAAAATGTGCACTGTATGATTTTTAACCATGCGTCCACAAACGGCCAAGTTCAGTTTATATTCAAATTCCCTCAAATGTCTGGGCAACTAATGTATACAATAACCCCTCTGTTCTCGCTCCCTATGCTTCTGCTTGCACCTCACTAATTTTCGAATGCTCGCATAATTTTTTACCAATTAACCTGTGGGACTTTCCGTTTGTGGTGTGGTGGGTACTACTCCTGAGATAAACAATGCTTGGGAGTGACTTCATGCCTGGACAAGGTTTTATTATAAACAAACTTGTTTGCTATTCCAAACAAGCTAGGTGTTGTCCAGAGCAAACAATGTACCGCAGCTAACAGTTTATCTGTTTGCACACCCAATCTATCAAATGAATACAGGAAAAATAACAGAATTAAAAGACAGGGGAAGGCAGTATTTTACAGAAACCGTGTAGTATATGTAAAATAATTGTGAAAATCAGCATGCAATTATTTTTTGATTCCTGAAAGAAAGGAAAAACACTTAACACCGAAAGTTTATGTGAGCCAATGACATGCGTTGGACCGTGTTGTGCCTTTAATCCGAGGCTGCTTAATGTTACGTTTGAAATTTAAGCCGGGACGCAAAAAAACTGTAGAGAGATTACCCACAGTTGTAGTCGGGTGGGAATGTCCAAAAAGGCACTGCTAAAAGGAAGGCTATGAGACAGAGAACAGAACTTTACGATCACTGTTATTCGGCCGGAAAGACAACCCTAGAATGCATACCTTGACGAAAAGTGTGGCTTGCACATTCAAAGTTAACGTAGTATCCTAATTCACACTTTCTTCGATAGACAATGTCCACCAGTTTTTACGGCAAAGTAACTGCGGCTTTCTACAGAAGATTTTGTAAGTTAGCATAATGCTGATATCGCTTTATCCATTTGACCGCCGAATCAAAGCAATAACAAAAAACGTAATCACCGGAGCTTGTAAGAATATCATGAAACAAATTTTTATGAGTAGGTTTTGGGGTAAGCCAAATTTAGAACAAAAGACACCTGATTATCGTGCAAAAGCCTGAGGATAGCCAACTAGAAGTCAAGAAGTAACGGCTCTCTGAAAATGGTGTTCTTGGGAGCAGGGGCGCAATTCGGATAGAATTTTTACTTCAGAAGCAAGTTTGCTGATTGACAGCATGAAGAGATGCGTCCTCATATTTGGAGGTAAAGAAGTTGAGCAGATGGAGTGAATGATGCAACAAAAACAATTACCTAGTACCTAGGCTTATGGAAACATCATTTGGTGTGTCAAGTCCTGATGGAATAAAAAAACTGCATCATTGCAAAAGTAATTTTTATGGCGTACTTCTAATAACAATGTGCGATTGTAACGAACGTCATTGGTTTCACCTCAGCTATAAAAAATACTGAACTAACAACCTTGAGAGAAACCTTGTAACCCGCAGCGTGGTTCTATTAAGTCGATCTACCATGCAATAGTGTGTGCTCAAGAGTGTATTGATGGAAACATATTCCGAAATCCATTGGAATTTGTGACAAATTTTCTAAGAAAGGGACTGCCGTGGAACATAGTTACGATTCTGTTGTGGTGTTTTGCGGGATATGTATTGTTCATATTCACATCACTCTCATTCGAACGGTGGCCCCCTTGTTCTGGCTTTATCATTCTGGTGAGTCCACACAGAAGGGAAGCACTGAACTCGAGTGTCGCTCTCATTAGAGCTCATTAACAGCACATGTTTTTGCGGGATTGTATTGTTCATATTCACATCACTCTCATTCGAACGGTGGCCCCCTTGTTCTGGCTTTATCATTCTGGTGAGTCCACACAGAAGGGAAGCACTGAACTCGAGTGTCGCTCTCATTAGAGCTCATTAACAGCACATGTTCAGCGGCCGTCCCGGGATTTGAACTCTGGACATCTGACATGTGATGCGGGCAAATTTCTACTGCTTCACCAGCTCACATTGTACACACCCGAATTTTCACGTCTGAACATGTGTCTAATTTGCGCTGGTGGAACAGTGGAAATACGCTTGCCTCGTATGTCAGATGTCCGGAGTTCAAGTCGCGGTACGGCCACTGGACATGCACTGCTGATGAGCTCTGATAAGAGCAAAACCGATACAATTGCGCCAGAACAGAGGACGGCTCAAATGAGTGGTGTGAATATCAACAGCTGCGGTTGCCTTTTATTTGTAGTTCTTCGTATTTAAGGTATGACTCACTTAAATGACGCAAAACCATCGGCATTGATGGTGTGTTTTCCATAGTACTTTGTGCATTGATGGACTGTATATATAAGGTTTAGCGCACCGAAGCAACTAGCACATGTTTGTTAACAGAAACGCAAGTTTCAGAACTTTTAGAGCGTGATATCAGAGAAGTACTTTTCATCGAAGGAGATACCTTCGAGTTTTATTATGCCAACGTCCAGGATATCAGCAAATGCTCTTTTCATGGGAAAATGGGAAAGGTCAGCGTATCGTCGAGCTCTCATTAGTGTTACTGTAGTTCCTACGAGTAATTTTTAATGACAAAGAAAAAACTATACACTATTTTAAAGGACACGTTAAGATCGTCTTCCAATCTGTTCGCAGGCAGTTACATTAACCTTCTATGCAGTTTGCTTGTGCAACGTGCTGTAAGCCGTCAAAAAGTTTTTCATAGCTTAAAACTATGTTACGCCTGAACAGAATGCAGCTTCTAGAAGAAGACGTTTTGTCTGGTAAACAAACTTGGTGAGATCTTTTGCGGAATAATGCAGAAAGATTTCGTCTTCTCTGTCAATCAGGAAACAACTGATGCGCGTACAAAAAACTGACTTAAATAGTCAATAGATTGTAGGATAATAAAGTGAGTTAGTCACACCGGTAAGCAGCCACAGTTGGTTCTGTATTGGTGTGGACAGAAATTTTATTTGAATACAATTCAAGATTTTTACAAATCAACAGCCGAGGGTTGGTTTATACATTGTTTATAGCTTCCACTGTAAGGTTTGGAAATAAAACCTTCAAGGCGAAAAATGGACTAGGTTTCAAGTGCTTACAGCGGCCATATTTCATGATCATTTCGGTTCAACTTTTTTGACAACAACGGCTTGCATGATTAAGCTGAGAAATTTTTTAAGCCGGCGTTTAACCTAAAATGTTCATATCACAAATAAATAAATAAGCATTCAGACTGTTGGTTTTTGTCTTATCCGTGGAGACTGGAGGGGGATAAACCAAAATACGACCGAATATTAGAAATTTGTCTGAACGACTGAGCTTCCAGTTCACCATAACTTCGCATCTAAAAGGGTAGAGGTCACTAACCACAGCTGATCCCTTTCCATAGCTTGAAATGGTTTTGGCACTAACAGTGACAACAAGAGGAAACTTTGCTGAAAAGTGGGTGTTTCTTACCTTTAGAATTTTACGGCGTTCATCTCTAGCCCAGATCATGAATGCATTCATCGGTCGTTTGATATGAGTGGACTTTTCAGCTTTGTTTTCCGTTCCGCTGCGACCCGTTCGACTGAGGATTTTGGGGTTCGTGTTGCATGGGGTGGGAGAACGATGAATCTGTTGGAGATAAACGTTTTGAAGATAAACTATGGTTTATTCACATTTCGCGAGCGCACACTCATAGGGAAAATAGCTTTGGTGAAATACTGACGTAATCAACCCACCTAGGAGAAGTTATCACAAATTGATGAGCATGTTGCTAGTCAAGCATTTTGCCAAAATCTTCTGACCACTACGAGATGTTGCCATAGCTGTTCACAAGAAGCCACGATCAATCCTGAAGAGACTACCCAACCATAAGTATTGCCAAAATCTAGGTGCACCGGCCGGATGTAGCACAAACAGTTGGCTGGGCCCGGTTTCAAAATGCTCACAGGTTATCTGAGCACTACACGGCCACTGATCCTATCCGTATAACTGATATACATATTCCGAAACCAAATTATTGGATCACAACTTTTTATTAATTCAACGCAACCAATGGATGGATCTGGATGAGTTGCACCTATCAGCTTACATGTATTACCTGAAAAATGTATATCTATGGCCAGCCACTGGAATGCAGCAGACTTTTAAAGCACACAGGGCGATTTAGTTTTTTTTACACACAGAGGAAGCTTCCATGTTCAGCTTAATAAAATATATATGGGCTACAGACCACCACATATCGAACAATTGGTCATTCTACACCGAAACGACATGCTGGTTGGAGCCCAGCTTTTGATGAAACATTTGTGGTCTTTGGCTGACGTATGTGTCAGTCGCAGGGCCTTCTCTAGGATGGAACTTCGAAAGATCTGGAACGTTTGCCTGCCTCTCTAAAATATCAGGCCTCGTGTGGGCATGGGGGCACATTTGAATAAGAGTGGTAGTCTGGCACTCAGACCTTCGACGGGCACACTTGATACTCCAGCGAACCCGATGTTGAGCTATCTGTCTATTGATAAGCCTCTGTTGGCTGACGTAAGAGCGGCCCGGTGAAGCCAACAAGGAGACAAACTGAACGCATGCAAACGAAAAGACCAGAACACATTGATATGTGGCTAACCGTCGTAGCCTCGGTATAACAGGTGCGAAAGTTATTTGGAAACAAAAAAGGTGGTAACCAAAATCTAATCGAATGTGTTTCGATACTTACGTCGTATAATTTCCGTGTTTCCGTACATAACAGCAGTTTAGTCCGATCTACCAGTTTGTCAAGAAATACCAAGCTGTGCGAATAGAGCCAATAAAGACCTAAGAGCAATAGGTATTGAGCTGCATTAGAGACAGTCGCTCTAGTGAAGTCTTGATAGCAATAACATATAGCGAGTTCAAATGAAGACTTCCAGTTACTAGATTGATTTGTACAGGCCAGAACGAAAAAATAACTACATTTTTATTATTATGGAAAACCAATGGTATTTTTCTGATAACAGTTTCTAATTCCAACGCCTACGCAGAGTTTCGAAGTACTGTATTTAAGAACAGATTGGTTTTGGCTCGGTCCACCATTTCCTCAAGATAAATAGCTCCATGCCGTAAGATTTACTGGATCTCCTTCAAACTCTGTTTTCACATTAAGTATGCATTGTACATCACAAAGTTTACCAGCATACTTTAACAGAAGCATCAACAAGAACGACGTTTTACGCGAAGAAATGTTCATATCTTCAGCTGGCACTGTCTTTCCTAATATGATTTTAAGTGATTACGAGGGGAAACTATCCAGCTGATTACATAATTTGGGTACGGTGAGTGTTCACGATAAACATAATTGGATGTATTATCTGCAACTTACCCGCTGCAAACGTAGCTCAGCCAATGTGTCTGCTGCCTGCATCGGTGCCCCTCCGCTATATTCCAGTGATTTTGGACTTCTTACTCTATTCTCCACAAATCCGTTGATCTTGGCAAACGTATTGGCTGTGCTCAATTGTGCTTGGGTAGATAAGTCTGCACCTAGTGTCAAATCAAACGCTTGCAATGGACTGAGACTGGTCAGAGAATTCCCCTGAGAACTGCATTGATCAAACTGATTCAGCGTTGGTGAAACCACTCGATGTATTCCTTCTTTAAAGGGGTGAGTTGAATGACCGCAGTACTTTGTCGGGGAGGAACTTAATGGTCTTGTTAATTTGGTGATATCCAAAATGTTTGCCTGAGGCCTTTGATTGGGGTTCTCACAACTGGATGAAACGCGTTTCATAGTTTCAGGTAGGGACATAAACAGCGATAAAGGGTTGGACGATGACTGAATGGAAGAGGCTGGATTACTGAGAGGTCGTACTGTTATTGGCGAGTCGGAGTTTGCAGAGTAAGTTGTGTAATGATTCTGAACCTTGAAGCAATTTGGCTCCAATCCGTTGGTCTGTAACCCGAAATCTGTACTTATCTGATTAATTGAGGTTGCTGGTTTGGGATGGTGAGTAGCCATTGGGGATTGGTCGTTCCTCAGCCCTTCTTTATCAATAATTGAAGAGCTGCAATGCTCCAACTCCGACAGGGACACTGGTTTAAATTTAGGCAAAAAGGCAGACAGGAAAGGGCTTCCAGGAACCATGGATTGTGGTAAATATGGCTTACTTTGGGTCGATAAACTACTTAGGATGCTGTGCATTTGAGATGCGTTAGACAATATTGGTAAATGGATGGAGTCTAGTAGCGGATGACTGGACGTTTGTTTTTGCATTGCATCCTTACTGGATGTGGGTGAAACCGATTGTATATTTGTCCAATCCATACAGGTCGCAGGGGCTTGGTAGGTATTATTGGCATGTGCCTGCAAGCGTAAAAGGTCATCAAGCATTTCCTTCAGACTGTGTAGCTTGTCCACAGTGGATTGAATTTTATATCTGTCCAGCCATTCGCCATTTGATAGTCGGCTTTCAGAAGCATGGTTCATGGAAGATGTCTGGAAGGAAAGCAGAATTTGCAGTGCTTATGTTCGTCAACAATTAGCTAGTGTACATCAGGCGAACTAAGGGCATAGTCTGATATACTGATTCAATGTGCTGGGAACTTGATCACATCACACTACTACTATGGGCATTGTGAAGCACAGAAGATTAGAATGTCTGTTAGGTGAGTGGAAGTCGAAATTCGTTCCGGTCTACTCTGTGGGCGACTCATGACCTACTCTAGGTCTAGAAAGTCAGACCACCAAGTCGCCCCACTTAAAAGGTATGTAGTCGTATGTGAGCTTGACGAACTCATCAACGGCCACCGATCAACCGTCACTGAACGCGTGTGCTGAAAGCTCTAAAACCTCTTCAATAACTATCCCGTTTACATCCTACTAACGCTAAAGATTGCCATATTACGCCTAATTTCTGAATTCTGAATAACCCACTCGCCATCAAACATTGCATTGAATACATTCTAACCTACTTGCCACTAACTTGCTTCCATGTGATTTTACCTGGCACGAAGAATAATTTACAGGACTTAAGCTTACTTATCTACGTAACATGACCTTGCAATCTCTTGCTATGATGCATTTTCGGGCAAATTTACTAATCTTTAAGGAAAATACGATCAAAATAACTTTGCATCAAACTGTTCTATTGTGAATACAGCTTTTTTGATCTGATTCTTGGGAGTCGCTTTCCCGTTTTATCATGTTTCGCGAGATCTGACTGATCATTATATTGCTGTTGACAGCAACCGTTCTGTTTGTGAGGCTTAACTAGGATATAATTTGGCAAAATTGGTCTTGTGAATATCAACTGAATACCGGCTAAGGTTCTCAACATTTAAGAACCCTAAAGCATCTGGCTGCAGAACGTTTATGGGAAATTTTGGTCGGCATAACATATATACTTCCCCGGATTCAACAACTTCACCTTGGTGAAGATAACTTTGACTGCTAAAACAAAGCCGTTCACGTAAAAAGAAATAAGTGTGATTTAAGGAGAAATTGTGGTGACGATCATAAGCCTATCCTAATATGCATCAAGAGTAGTGGGGCAATTTAGTCGCGTGGATGCTTATGTCGTTTGAATGCTTTTTAGGCAAACGATGCATACTTTTCAGACAGATAGTGTTACTATCAATGAGTTGAGATCCTAGATGAGGCTTTGGCATCCCGGGAAACACAATCGTCTACGACCAAAGATGCTTGTTCTAAAGGATAATGTGTCATTTTTGACTTAATCAGCTATGCTTTATCCACGACACGCAGTCATGGAGATTCTGTTAGCGGAATTATTAGTTTTTTGTTCCTGGTCGGTTAATTTGACGCAGGCCACTCAACCACGCACCAGAGCGGGACCAACTCAAAGAATGTTCCTTAATATGCCCCACCGGCTGGAGTGGAGTGACACTAGCGCGCGCTCACTAAGCAGTGAACATGGCCCTGAAATCGCAGAACTGAGCGGGAGCATTTACTGACGTTTTTATATATATTGCTTATTTTCAGCACGCTTGTGACAGTGTTTATCGGAAACCAACTTGCGTGGGTCAGTATACCCACTTTTCAAGCTCCGTTTCTGTTGTGATGAAGGGGGCTCTATAGAGATGTCCTTTCGGCGGACCAACAAATGCATTATCCATATACATGATATTACAGGAAATTGGACTACCCTTAAACGTTCTTCTGACATTGAGTATTCTAAGAGACTGTTGGAAAGAAGTATAGAACTAACTGCAACAAGAAGTATGCCTACCGCAGTTTCACTTGACCCTGTCTATCTGCGTCCCCAGTGAAAACATAACATATTCAGCCATTTGTTCATAGAAGCTCACGGAACGTCCAAGCGCATATTTTACGCATCTAGCCAAAGCATAGAATTCAGCACTTGTCCTGAGATCAGAGAACAAGTGACAGATCGGCTGCCTTGTTGAGTAAATTCGATGTGTATTTACTTTTCCTTGCTTTTGTGGGACACGCTGTTCCAGCCAAACGTCGATAGTACTATCTTGACAAAATACTGAACACCCGTTGTGACTGGCGAATGGTCTCGTACAACCCATCAACCATTTGGTGTCATCTTATTTCGTTAAAAAAAGACAACACGCGTATACTGACATTGCAATGAAACCGTCAAGACTGGGAAGAGCAAGGACAATAAATGTAATTGAAACGGTTGCCTCCCGTATCCATAAGACGTAACTATATGTTCAGGACTAAGTTCAGATAATTCCTTTATCTTGACCGACCAACAACGATGGGCACATCACAAACTGACAGGTAGAACCAGTGAAATGGAATATTTTCAATGAGCCGTACCAAATGCGTGGTATGAACACCTCTAATGATCCAACCCTAATGAGGTTGTGCTTTTTGTTACGCTTATTAATCCATTGCTCTGACTGAGCATTTATGCGTCAGGGGATTCGTTTCAATCCATGTATTGTCAAAGCCTGGTTCTGATAAAGATTCATTCAGTCGAATTAACATTTCTAGGACACACTAAACGACATTTAGTTCGTAGCTTTTAATATTGTAATTACATTCACCTTTGCAGAATATGAACCATCCAAAACATGTTCCGCTCTGTTTGAAAAATCGTGTTCTGCAAACCCGTCAGAGAATCTCCCTTGTGAAGCATGGATCTCGGTTGTATTTACCTCACTTTTTGGCGAAATGTGATGATGTACGGTGTGAAGGCCAGGAAATCGATCTCTGATAGATCCATTCGGCTGAAGCGAGCTCTGAATTGCACCGTTGGTGTCACAGCCATTCATAGTGGAGGGGTCTTGTTCTAGTCGCTTGAAATCGGCAAAGCTGTAATTTTTTGGAGGTTTCTCTTGCGTTAAATTCAGAGGGGCATCGTATTGTATCTGCAAACAGCAAAAAGTGCCTTAAAAGTTGTTGACTCTGAAGTTTTAAAAGAAGAGCTTGAAAGAACAAATCGTAAAAGGGTTGGGTGAGAAGACCAAGCTGAGTTAAACGACGCGAGACCTGAAATACTTCGGAAAGAGGATATCCCAAGCTTTCGAATGCAATCCCTGCCTCTGTGAAGCATTGAGAGAAGCACTAAAGTCGAGCCGTCTGAAACAAATAATCAAACATTTTCAATATCTCTGGTGTGCGGCTAGTTGAGCAATTGCGAATGAAAAATCTTGTGACCTTGCTTGAAATAGGCGGCACTTTTGTGGACATGAACGTATCATGTCGGACAGAATGGCAAGTTCTCCGTCCTCAAATCGACTGTCTGAAGTCTGCTACCAGTCTCATTTTTAAAATGTTACCTGTGTCTCATTTCATTACTGGGGCGGCAGAACATCTCATAAGCATTGGACCAACCGAAGAACTTTCACAAACGAAAGAAATCTGGCAGTTTCCTGAAAAGGTGTACTTCGCAGAAAGAGGGTACTCATTAACTGTACAACTTCCTGCGAACTAGTGACACAGGATATTACGTTCCATTCCCGGCTAAGGACTATCTATCTTCAGTACTTGTGAGACCTTTCACCAAAACTTGCTAAGTTCAGTCGAACCGCTATTCATGACCATTATTGGTCATGGTCTAATTATATCTAGGATGTTGTAACACATCGGAATAAATACGTTTGATTGGGTAGATCTGTCCAAAACATGCCATTCTCCTTTCATGTCAACAAATCAGATGCCTTATTATCTTATGACTGTTAATATTGCCGTTCGGTGAGTAGTGCCGTTGTCTGCCGGTGCACATCTAGCAGACGTTTTGTATTCAGACAAGCAAGGGGATGAGCTGAAAATCACTACTAACTTTAACGTATGATGTAGAATCCAACTTCACGCACCTAGTGGTCGGAAATGTTCTGTAAACAAGCGCCTACAGACCCATCATTAACAGGCCAGCGCTCAACAACCAATCAGGAAGGTACTGCTTTGAACATCTGTTGTACCAAAGACTATCTCGAGCAAGCAAGACGATGAGTAGTTGTCCTGGTGGAAAAAATAATAACGCGATATGAGAGAAAGTAAACCCACTCGTTTTTGCTGGTCGCCTACCAGAGTAGTCAGCTGCTCCGTAAGAAGTACAATATGTCTGGCAATCTCGGACAGTAGTTCCAGTTTATCAGTTGTGGAGAGTTCCGAAGAATAGCAGGCAAAAGCGAGAAGGGAACTGATGTGATGTGCGGCGGCAACTCGGTAAGTGGAAGATGTTTGCTGAAACTTTGTAGTTGGAGAAGAAATCTGTGAGCCAAATCGTGGTTCTCTGTCAATGATCATCGGTTTTGGGACTGTCATGTTTTCAGTGGTCATCAGTTTTGAGGTAACTTCAAGTTGAATTCCGGTCATCATTCAGACTTTCACAAAATATGACATGAAGCTGAGGTTCTTGACCAGTAGATAACTTAGAAGGTCGATTAATTTCCATCTGTTCAAGTAGACAGAAAGTTTTACGAGAATAATCTGGGTAAAAAGCTGTAAAATACCTTAACAACAACACGGTATAGTATTATTCATGTCTTAAAATGTACCTGAAATGAACAAAGTTCATGATAGTACGAAGATCGTCCAAACCATAAAGAATCATTTGAATATCAATATGCACAAGGTGTGCCAACTAGACGACTCTCGGCTTATTTACTTCATGCCGGTTCCACCCAGTGAATATTTCAACTTTTGCAGAATGACTTCTTTCCTCATTTGTGACGACGAATAGCGTGTCTAGTGTTCCACACCCATGGAGGAGGGATGTCAGCACTCTCTCACATGCATCTTGCAACATCTATCGGAGCTTTTGCATTGCAGTCCACACGGAAAATATATTATCACAATGGTCCAAAGACCTTTTCCGGCTACTATGCTGTCAGGAATAATGATAACAATATTAATAAGACTCTCAATTCGACCAGACAGAGATGCATTTCCAGCCCACTCTGGACTGCGTGAAGTTATTTTGGATGACAGTTACACAGAGGAATGTAATTTGACTGACGTGCGTCAAACAAGTTTGAAAGAGTTGCCTTCAAGTGATGTTTTTGTTTCTTTAAACAAACTCAGTAAAGTTTTTGGGCAACTAACTACCTGACAGAGAGCCTCTTAACGTAAACACGTTAGGCCATTTACAATGCATTCGATCCAATAGTGCTTGAGCATTTTTTCTCAGCTGCCAACGTCACGTTGATGGATCACTCAATAACCAACTTTTTGCTCCGAATGATGGAAATCGCTTGCCTAACTCACGACAGAGCGTAAACGACATGGGCTGTTGTCTTCCTTCTGTGACCTTTACGTGAGAAATGAGGAACATTTTATCCCAACATTCGTCAAGCAACTGCCTTGTAATATAATCTATTTAATAGTCACCGGGAATAGAAGTAACGGGCGAGGCTAAGGTAACATTTTGTGGAGGTTGACTGCATTAATCTATTCTGGAGTTTTCCTAGTACAGAAAAAAGTGCACTGACTTAACTGGTGTTAAGTCCTTTGGAAAATCCGATTAATGAGTTAAAAAATTACGACAGCATATTCTGGGTAGTGTGCTGTAAATTGAAATTCAGGAACGTTTGCGAGAAGAATGAACACGTCAAAGTAATACAGCCAAAAATATTGGTGCACGGATTTTACGGCGTTCATCATAGCCGGAGTGTGCTCCATAATCCTGGACAGCATAGCTTAAGCCTCCGTGAATGGAGGCGCTGTAAAACCAAGGTAATACATGTCGTGAGCTGTTTGCAGTGCCTGTTGTGTGTTGCTCACAGTTGCGCTATTCATGGATATTCATCGACTGTTTGTTACCACTGAATTTCCAAGACCGATTAAGGAACAAAAATTGCACTGAGCAAATCCGGTTCTGACAGGCTTTGCTCTATTCGAGACTGCTCTGGTTTTGAGAAGAAGTCGTCCTGGGAACGGACGAGCGGCATTTTGTAAATGAAGTAAATGCTCCATGTTGCAAACCATGATATAGTCGAACAGAAAAATGTCAGTGCTGATTATCTCAAACAACCGAAATTGTATCTTCAGTAGTCAACTCAGCTCTTGCTGCAACCAGGGTAAAGCAGCCAATGAAATGCATTGGTACAGGGATAGCTAAGTGTATGGGTCAATGTCTATTAATTTTAGATGTAAGATTTTTTCTTGTGACTTAGTTGTTTTCAAATTTTGTGCAGAAGTTTGCTCACGAAACAAGCAGTGTATTCAAGTTAAGGTAAGGCAAGGTAAGGCAACAAGAACACTGGTGTAGTGCTGCCAACAATGATGGCGATCATCACTGCTTGTACTTCGATTATCAAAGTTTTCTTAGGTGGCAATTTTGGGCTTTTGCGGGAAAGGTATTTTGTTCATAGTCACACCACTCTTGTTTGAACGGTCGTGTTCCTGTTCTGGCGTAATTATTCCGGTGAGTCCACGCCGAAGGGAAGCACTGGACTCGGGTTTCCCTCTTATTAGGGCTCATCAGCAGTGCGTATCCAATGGCCGTGCCGGGATTTGGACCCCGGACATCTGACTGCGAGGTGAATGTGTAACCGCTACTCAACCAACGCAAGTTAGACGCATTTGAATTTTGACGTTTGAACAGGCGAACGTGTTCACATTTGAGCGATGTGATTGGTGTGCCCGACTCATCGAACGACAACCCAGTAANAGTCGTATCTAGTGCGACCATTTCCTTCTGTAGGCTGTCTAGACTAGAGAAGACAGCCTAACAAACGTAGCAGAAATGCTACGACTACCAACCTTCTAATAACGAAAAACTTCAGTTTGTTATTGGGATATTTTCCCTAAATTCTGGTTACAGTGTCGTTATAATTGCCTATATTTCCTAATCCCACTTTATCCGCCCGACAATATTTGTTTGAAAGTCGACATAATCAAACGATACCCTGTTTTATATACTCCATATTTGGCGACTGCATGTATCAGTTTTGCAGACAACCTTGTACAAGCAAATACTGCGCCTCACAAATGCTAACCGAATAATTCACACCGTTTACAGAAACAAAAAAGAAGAAATTAGTTTTATCTCAAAACTTGGTGCTTTTTGTGGTCAAAACGGAAAAAAGAAAAAAAATTTCAAAAATTTCGAATTCCCTTGTTAGTATGTGATTGTAGCTTTACTTTGGAGTTCAAACTATTGTAATGTTTCAAAACTAGTATCCATAAGATGACTCAGGGATAAAGAAAAGTATGCGTGCCACGTCAGATTCGATAGCTACTGGTTGAGCTGCACACAGGGCTAGCAAAAAGGGAAACATTCTCAATTCTCATCAATCAGGGTTCTCAGAAACTAAAAGAGAAAATCCTTCAGAAATGTCTTTTGTTGTCACGTTGCTCCATCTTATGATGTTGTTATAACAATAGCATGAATTAAAATTGCGTGATGTTTCTTCCACGAAGATTTGCAAAATAACAATGATTTTGTCACAGCTTTCCAAATTCGCGATTCCGCCTACCACTTTGTGGAAATTAGAAAATTGTGTTGGAAAATGTGAAAGTTGTACATCATTTGTTTTCCATTGCCTAATTAGGCGAAAACATAAATCACTCAACTTTTGTGCTGCAAAATCTGACGGCAACCACAAACAGATTGAGGCGAGATGCACCGTCAACAGCGGTATCTCACAAACTTCCTCTCGCGGCGAAAGCGCTGATAAACGGTTTTAGTGCACCCCTTTCAGTCGCGCCCCCATTGAATAAGAACCGAAATCATCAGACCCACAGGCTTGATGGATGCACAAAGCGTAGGTGACAAACTAAAAACGCGGCAGCATGGGTGTGTGGTGGGATTGATAGTAGCTTCCGAGTGGGATATGCAGTAAACGTACACACATTATGGTTGTAAACCACCGACACGCTGTGTGATCTGTTGAGCTAAAGGATGCATAAAGCTAATTACCAA